AGTTTTTTCGAAGCCATCACCAGGGCTAGTGTCAATTTCTCCAAGGGCAGGTACATAGTTTCTGCACTTGCTAAGGTCTTACTTACATAGTATACCGCCTTTTGTTCTCCCTCATCTTCTCAGAATACTACCGCGCTTACTGCGTATTCTGAAACTGCCAAGTATAGGAACAATTCTTCTCCAGGTATTGGATTTGACAGAACTGGAGCTGTTGTCAAGTACTTTTTCAAGTCGGCCAAGGCGACTTTGCACTCTCTGTCCACAAAAAATCTGTGGCCTTCTTTAATAAACTAAAAAATGGTTTACACTTATCAGAACTTCGGCTGATAAACCTGTTCAGGTTGTCGCTTTACCAGTCAAAATCTGGACCTGCTTGGCTAACGTTGGGCTCTTTAAGTCAAGAATGACCTTGATTTGATTTGATCTGGGCTTGTCTCAATGCCCCTTCTAGTAACTAAGTATCCTACGAACTTACCAGACTTGACTCCAAATGCATATTTCGAAGCATTGAGTTGGAGCCGATATGTTCTCGGGATATCAAAAACTGCCTTCAAGTCGGCCAGATGATTCCCAAGTTCTTTAGTCATCACGACTATGTCGTCAATGTACACTTCTACTGTCTTGCAAATCAGATGTTTGAATATTTTGGTCACTAACCTTTGGTAGGTTGCTCATGCATTTTTTAACCCGAAAGGCATCACTCTGTAACAGTACAACCCTTTTAGGGTGATGAATACAGTCTTCTCCACGTCAGGGAGATACATTGTTATCTAGTTGTATCCCATGTAAGCATCCAGGAAGCTCATTCTCCCATGCCTTGAAGTAGCATCCACCAACTGATCAATTTTGAGCAGAGGGAAGTTGTCTTTACGACAAGCCTTATTCAAGCTAGTGAAGTCCACGCAGACCCTCCACTTCCCATTCTTCTTTTTCACAACTACTGTGTTGGACAACTAGGTTGGGTAGTTCACCTCCCGAATAGCCTTGGCTTTTAACAGTTTGTTCATTTCCTCCTCTACTGCCTCTACATGAATCAACGTTGGCCTTCTTGCCCACTGAATGACATGTTTAGCCGACTTATCTACATTGAGTCTATGGCAAGTGACCTCGGGGTCAATGCCAGACATCTCGTATGGCATTTAGGCAAACACTTCTATGTTTGCTCACAAAAAAGCCTCCAACTCCCTTTCCTCATTCTCGGCTAAGCCTGAGACGAGAAGGAAGAAGCGCTCTATATCATGTTCTTTTACCAGAATCTTCTTCAAGGCTTCTTCACTCTTGTTGGCCGACTCTTTGCCGACATCATCCAAGACCTCCATGTCCTTGTCTTCAATTTCTACTGTTTCTGCCTCTCGCACGTTGCAGATGGATTTCATTGCTACCATGGAGCAATTTTTTGCCTGCACCTGATCCCCTCTGACCCCCTCAATTCCATGCTCCGTTGGGAACCGCAATAGTCAGTGCAATGTTAAGGGAACAACCCTCATTGCATGCAACCACGATCTTCTAAGATAACATTGTAAAGGAAGGGGGTGTCAATTACTATAAACTCTGTGCTTACCTTTTTCGTGCATGCCTACACTTCCAAATTCGTGGCTCCTAGAGGCCACGTCAATGTTCCATTGAATCCAACCATCGGATTGTTAGATTGTTCCAGATCATTTGGGTGAAGGCCAAGCTCCTAGTAACATCTAACATACATGATGTCACAAGAATTGCCTTGATCAACCAGTATGCACCTTACCTGGTAATCCCCAATCTTCAGCATTATCACCAAGGTATCATTGTGTGGATGCTGCACCATATCCAGGTCTGACTTGGTAAAAGAGACCAATGGTCACTGGTACTCATTGGTTCTAGGCTTCTTCTGTTGGACCTGATACATATGCTACAGGTGCCTCACTCTCTAAGTCTCCTCACGGACCCCATTCTCATTGACCTTTGAGTGAATAACATTGATCACCTGAGGTCCATCTTCTTGCTGTGGTGGCGGAGGTGGTGTTGCCGGTGCTTGGGGTAGCCTTGCCTGCTCTTCCCTTGTTCTGGCCTCATCTACTAGGTCTAGCAGATGACCCTGTCTGACTAGATCCTCTAAGTGCGTCTTCAGAGCCTTGCACCCCTGAGTCAAGTGCCCATCCTCATTATGGTGGGCACAGTGTTTTCCAAGGCTCCTTCTCATAAACTTGCCAATGACCTTCTCCAGCGCTCTATAATATGACTGGTTCCTAATTCTTTCTAGAACTTTGTAAACCAGGATCCGAAACACAGTGGTGACTGTCTATGCAACCCTCAACCCTGTCTCCTGCCTGTTAAAACCAGTGTTACCTCGGCCTCGCTTCGACGAGCCGTTTCTCTTCTCTTGCTTTGACGCCTTTGTTCCCGGCGTATCCTTTTTTGCTCTGACGTATTTTTCAATCTGAGCCATAAGCTCCTCCATACTTTTTGGTAAAGTTTTCGCCAGTGACTTCCGGAGAGAACATTCATCCTCCAGGCTGTTCTTAAAAGACACGACCGCCAGCTCTTGGTTACACCTGGTATTCGGTTGAACACCTCATAATACCTTTTGGCATATGCCCTAAGGCTTTTACCCTCGCCAATTTTCAGAGCCATCAGGGAGTCTACCCTTACTGGCTGCAACTTGTTCATAACAAACCTAGCCACAAACATCTCGGTCAAGCCTTTCCAACTCTTCACAGTTCCTATCGACAACTTATGGAACCAATCCGATGCGATTTTCCCAAAGGATGAGGGAAACACCTTGCACAGCAACTACTCGTTCCAGGTATACAAAGCCATTGAATTCAGCTATAAGCCGACATAAAAGTTCGAATCAGACTTATTGTCATAAATCTAGAACCTCGGCATATGGAACCTCTTTGGGGCCTCAAACCTATCCAACTCCACTGAGAGCGGCGTTCTCGGCTTAACGAAGGATGTGACCTTGGCGTTTTGTTGCTTCCTCTAGAGGTAGTCCCTCAAATCCTCATTTGTTTGTCTGGGAGCTCGGCTATCAACAGATTTCAGCCTTTTTGGCACACTGCTCTCAGTGTCATGGTGTGTCCTTTTGGATTTTTCTTCATTCACCGTGTCAAAGCAAAGTCCCTTTTCCTAGACGTGCCGATGTTCTTTGACATAAGTTTTCTTGGTATGAGGCGTCCTCTGAGACTCACTTCTCACTGACTCTACTCGCCCGACATCTTGTGAAGGCCTATGTGAACGTTCATTCTCTTTGTCATGTTGAGGGACTACTGGGATTGCTTTCTGCCCTCCTTTCTGGGCGTCGATCTTGGTCGCTGGCATTGGCGTGTCCTGCAATGAGTACGGTGGTTGCATTATGTTGTTCTGTATCATAAAATTGACAACTGATTGTAGGTCTGCCAACTTGTTTGCCATTCCCTTCATCTCGCTGTCTCTCCTCAAGCATTTGTCCTTCCATACCTAGAGGTCGCTTTCGTTGTAATACTCATCTCGCCCTGCTTTCTTCGGGGCGTTTCCCTCTTTTCCGACATCCTTATCCCCAGGATTCTGATCCCGTGCTCCTTTATTATGGTTTTCTTCCTCGATGTTAGGATCGGCATGTTTACCACTCCCGCTTGGAACAACGTCTTTGATCTTTTCTCCCTACTCGTTGTTGGCCATCTATTCTCCTTAAGTTTCCATAGACGGCGCCAAATTGTGGGTGTTGATTTCCAACCATATAACCAAACGGGGAACTCAGCTGGAGAGCACCAGTAAAATAGATTAAGCCCAACAACCTACACAAGAAGATAAGAATTCGGCTGTGGTTCGTCCACCCGAGGACACTCCAACAATCAAGTCAATGATCAATATCTCTCACAAATAACAAATAGTGTTTAAACTCACCAGAAAGAACTGCACAAATAAAAATATACCTCAGACCGAGGATGTCTTGTTTTTATAACCAGCTGTGACCTGATCCCATTAGAAGCCTTACTTCAATGGACTCAAGCTCAATGCCCATCCTGAACCTTCATCTAGATAGAGATAAACTCCTCTTAAGCCTTATCTTTATCTAGACTGAGATCCTCCCCTGTTCTAGAACTGTTATCCCTTATCTGCTCATTTCGGATTCCAGTATCTCCGCAGATAACTTCGACCTAGCCGAGATCAACTTGGCGCATGATCAAGCCACATGACACCTTGACTGACACTTCGATGTCACCTTAATCACGTGCTGTCATTAACAAAATACATCTCCACAATGTTTCCACAATGTTAAATCTAAATTATAGGTATAAAAACAATAAAAGTACTTATTCCACCTCTTGCACAAAGTTTTTGCCAAACGTGAAGCGAGTGAGTAGAAGGAATTGCTTAAAGGGGGTGCAAGTTGCAAATGGCAGAGGGAGTCATTTAAAAGTGTTGTCGATATGGAAGAATTTATGAAAAAGGCTAAGAATTCATGAAACACATTTTTCAAAATTTAAAACCGTTAGCCAACTTTTTGGCAAGCAAAGTAGTTATCCAATATGTTTCAATCTCCATTTTAAAAATTTTATGTTTTAATTTTATCAATTTAAATTTAAAATTTTTAATTTATTTTTATTTATTTTCATCAAGTAAAATTGATAGAAATTAAACTCAATATAAGTATATATAAAATATTCATAATATAATTTTTTATTGAGTTTAATAACTAAAATATAATTTTTTTTTATCGATTTTACTTAATTAAAATAGACAACTGATTTAGATTGAAAATAAATAAAAAATCACACTTTAAATTGATAAAATTAAAAATTAAAGATTTATTTATTTTGTTATAAGGTCAAATCTTGATTTTCTTTTGTAATTTCTCATAATTTTTTTTAAAAAAATAAGAAAGTTATCAAACAAGCCTTACCCATTCCAGGATCGGATTGGGCTGGCCTGGAACAATCTTGTAGGGGTCAGATTACGCTTGAAGGATCCGTATTTGTGTCGGAGCTAAGATTCGGATAAAACTAACCCGAGAACTTTTGAACCGAAAACTCCATCTAGTAGTAGTAGGAGGTTCTTCTCTCTCCATCTCTCTCCCTCTCTCTCTCTACCCTACATCACGATCCCTGTCCTCTTCTCTCTCTTGATCCCGACTTGTCTGCAAACCCTAATCCCAACCTAACCAATCCAATTCACTGTTTTAGTGTCTGGACTCGACTAAATCTCTCTATCGCACTTGTTCTCCGGCGAGATCTCCAATTCCGAGTCATCACATCACTGCTAGACCCACCTTCGATGCGAATTTGATTTAGGTACGTTTGATTCATCTCTGTCCTCTCACAAGTTTACTAATTTCTTCCCAAGATTTGATATTTGAACATAATTGACTTCATCGCACTGATCAATTTACATCAATTTCGTTGATGCTTTCATGACTAGAATTGATGGTTAGCTCGTATTTTACTAGTTTTGGTGTTTCGCTATTTTATTTTATTTTTTGTAATTACATATGTTTCTACAACCTATTTTGTTATAGTATTAAAGGTTTTATCTTTAGCTTTGTGGAATGATGGAATACTCGCATTGTTTTGGTGATCAATTGATTGCTAAGAAATTGTGGATTGGATTGATAAAAAAAAGGAAAGAAAAAAAGCTAATAAATTATAGATGGAAAGTAGGTTTACCAAGATTATCATATCAGTGTCTCTTGTAATAAAATTCCTTGTTTTTTAAAAAATAAAAAAATTAATTTGTTAATTTTTTTTGTTTGGAGAGCATAATTGGGTAGCAAGTCAGGCTGTATTTCATCCAAGTAACAATGGTTTGATTGGTGTTAGATTGGGACTCTGGCTTAAATTTGAATAACTTTAAGCCTCAATGTTTGTGAGTTATAGCTCTGTTTAAAGAGCTAAGAAGTGGAAGTCTTGTGAATAGGGGCTTTGGACAAAACATTATCTGAAATGAATTGAAGTGTCTCCTTCTCACCTACACATGGACATACTTAGGACAAGGAGAGAATGTTAGGGACCTTCATTTGCAGCGATTAGGCACTGTATTTTTGCTTATTTTTTCCCCTCTATTTTCTTGTTGATGTTTTAAATTTCGTTGTGTTTTTCTTGGAGCTCCTTTTGGAGTCAAAACATTTTGAATTGACTAATCAGGAGTTGTATAATGCTTCTATTTTTTCAATCACCAAATGCCACATTGAATTCTTGTTTCGCAAGTAATTACATGTCAGCTGTCCTGGTGTCAAAGTCTGATTGTATCCTCCCTTGAAAGAAAATAAATTGGGAGTGAACACCTTTTTTTTTATTTCCTGATATAGGTAGGACATATGTCAGAGGTAGAGTCAATGATTTTTCATGTTAGAGGTGAATAGAGCCTACTTTAGTATAGAGCCACATAGACCTGGATCCTACACTTTCTTCATGAGGAAATAGAAATATGGATCTAAAATCCATACTATATATATGGAAACGTCTGAAGCAACCTAAAGATTATTACTTAAACTGGAATTCTGTACCATCAGGTTTTTCGGTATGTACTTTTGATACGTGAACTCAAAAAAGAAATAGCAAGTTCAATAAAATCTTTGCATACTTGGCTCTGCAATATCATTCTTGTAGCACCATGCTTTTGCGTATGCCAGATCTGAAACATTTATATGTGTTTTTGGCTTGAAAATTATGCTTGACATGCAATAGATATAGACTTGTCCTTGATCATATGCGACAAGGTAAGTCGGTATATGAGGGAAAAATTGAAGCTTATCAGGTATGCTGTGTGCATTTGGTATGGGGGGATTGGGTGAGCTTTGAAATTCTACAAGTTTTACTGGTTCACTGTCATGATTGTATATATTAATTACGCTTACTCTCTGAGCTTTGACTTTTGAATGTTTTATAATTTTCTCCATCAACAATGACATGTTCTATATTGAATGTTTTTGCAGAATTATTCATGGAAGCATAGCCATTGCTAGTTGATCAAGTGTGGGTTATGAATACCATGGGGACTGAAAATTCTAACCGTGCCAATTTCCCTCAAAGGCCTGCTACTTCACCCTTTGCTGCTGCTTCTCAGAGTACGGCATCTTTTTTATCATCTGGCCCTGTGATTGGATCTGAGGCCTCTGCTTTTAGACCCACACCGCCAACTGCTCCCCAGATTACAAGGCCTTTCTTGTCATCTGGGCCAGTGGTTGGATCAGAAGCATCTGGTTTTAGATCTGCACAAACAGGTAGACCTAATGATCCATCTATACCACCTCCACCATCATCATATGTCCCACCACCAACAGGACCTTTTCAGCATTTCCCAACACCACAATTTTCTTCAACAGCTCAAGTACCTCCTCCACGTATTTCCCCTCCAGGGCAACCAGTTTTTTCTGCACCAATTAAACCTCCTGCAGCTCGTGTTCCATCTCAGCCAGTTTCTCTTCATCCACAGCCGCCCCAGATACCATCTGTGCGGATGGGATCTCCGCCTCAAAGCATAAACCATGTACCATCAGGCATGAATGTTCCTCCATCATCCTTAGATTCATCATTTTCAGGTCCTAGGCCAACCTTGCAGCCATTGCAGTCAGCTTTTCCTGGGTATCCTAGTAGACCATCTAATGCAGTTACACAACCTCCACCTGTACAGTCTGCCCCCTTTGTTTCCCATCAAGGAGGTTATGGTCCGCCCCCACCCACAACATCTACCCCTTTTTTTGCTCATCAAGGTGGTTATGTTCCCCCTCCACCAGTCACAGCTCCTCTGGGTGCCTATTCAAGGGATCAAATGCAACACCAAGGCTCTGGACCTCCTATGGGAGCTGTGCAGGGCTTGACAGAAGACTTCAGCTCTCTCTCACTTGCCTCTGTTCCTGGATCACTTGACCCAGGACTTGATTCTAAAGCATTGCCAAGGCCTTTGGATGGTGATGTGGAGCCAAACTCCTATGCTGAGATGTATCCCATGAATTGCAATTCTAGATATCTGCGTCTTACAACTAGTGCCATACCAAGTTCCCAGTCTTTGGTTTCAAGGTGGCATTTACCCCTCGGAGCAGTTGTTTGTCCTCTTGCGGAACCTCCTGATGGAGTGAGTATCTATGTACTTAGAACTATTGCACTTTGCTAATATCGAACATGCTCTAATGTTATGCTTTGTATTTTTCGTACTTGTGAACCCTCTTCATTCAGGAGGAGGTGGCAATAGTTAATTTTACCCAGAATGGAATTATTCGCTGTAGAAGATGTCGGACATATGTGAATCCATATGTGACATTCACAGATGGTGGAAGAAAGTGGCGCTGTAACATATGTGCTTTGCTTAATGATGGTAAATTTCCTTATGCTTGTAACCTGTAGTAGACATTTGGAAGTGATAGGCTTCTTCGAAGGAAATATGTAGATATTGAATTGCATCTAATAATCTTTGATGTTATATGGTGTCCGGACCTGTTACCTTGACTCTTATAAATTTGTGAAGTATGGGTGTCGGACACTTGTCACTTGGGTTAGGGCGCATAAGATGTGTGTTCAACAGGACTAGTTGGACATGCAACCTACAAATATGTTCAAGTAGTAGAGTTTACTAAGAAACTATGCACAAGACTCCCATTCTGTGAAATATAAAATCTGGCTGCTTGGTGTCTTTGGGCATGAGAATTAGATGGATTTGACACTTAAACCACATACTCATCACATGAAATAACTAGTCTTAATTTTTCTATTGGAGTCACATTCATCCAAGAATTTAACGTACATGACTCAAAATCAGGAACTCTTTAATGCGTGCCAAAGTGAAATATGGACTTTTTATTACAAATTCTTCTCAAAAAGTACTACACTTCATGCTCCAAGTCTAGCTTCATGCATCATGAACCACAAGGGAAATCTTTAAAATTTTAGGGTGAGCTACACTAGCCAAGTAGAGATAATTCTAATAAAACGTAAGTGTTAAGACGGTGGCATGTGCAAGTGTACAACCAGTGTTATGAAAAGCGCGCCTAGGCGCAAGGCGAAGCGAAGCGCACTGTTTGTGCCTGGACAGGTCCCAGGCGAGGCGACTTGTGTTTGGCGCGCGACTTAGACGCGACTTGAACCAGGCGGCAGAGGCGCAAGGCGCACGACTAGGCACGCTTGATTTTCTAACAGCTAGATCTGATCTAACTGCGCTTGAACCCTAATCTGTGTTGTCTCTTCCTCTCTCGCCTCTCCTTGGACTTCGACTTCGACTTCGACTGGGTTGCTCGACTTCTTCGACTTCGCAGTATGCTTCACCATCTTCTTCTTCTGGTCTTCTTCTTCTACTTCGACTTCTTCGTCTTCTTCAACTTCTTCTTCGGTTATGTTTTTTTTATTTTTTTTTAGCTTCAACTTCGACTGACTCTCTCTCTCTCTCTCTCTCTCTCTCTCTCTCTCTCTCTCTCTCCTTCTTCTTCTTCTTCTTTTGGCTGTTCGACTGCTCTGTTTTGCCCCCCTTTTTTTCTTTTTTTTTTTTTCTTTTTTTTTTTTTCCAATTATGCCTTTGAGTCCGTTAGAAACAAAAAATAAAAAATACAAATACAAAATAATGAACTAAAAAAAAAATAGACTAAAAAAAATAGATTTTGATTTTGATTCTGATTCTGATTAATTAACTAAAAAAATTACAAATAAATAATTATTCACAAATAATTAATTAATACAATGTACTTCTAGTCTTTTTTTTTCCTTTATCTGTTAGGAGAAAAAAATAGATTCTGATTCTGATTAATTAACTAAAAAAATACACTAAATTTTTTTTTACAAATAATTAATTATTCACAAATATTTACAAAAGAATTTACAAATAATTAATTATTCACAAAATATTAGTATTTGTTGGATATTTATGTTTTGGATGTTTAGTTTTTATGTTTTTGTTTTTGTTTTTGTTTTTATTTTATTGAATGTGGATTATTTTATCTTTGAAAATTGGAATGTTATGTGATATGCACTTTCATGACTTTGAGAATTAATTTATATTTTGTTTTGAATCTTGATTACTTTTTATTTTTAAACAAATTGTCTTAGTACTATGAATGATTAGTCTATGTTAATTTTTTTATTTTTTTACTAAGATTGTGCGCCTTACTTCAATAAAACCCGCGCTTCGCCTTGCGCCTAGGCCCCGAGAGACCTTCAGTGCCTTAGTGCGCCTTGAGCCTTTAAAAACACTGTGTACAACTATAACTTGCATGTAGTATGCAAGAATCCAAAATATGTCAATGCATGTCATGAAAACTCCTTTCCAACACTTTATTTCAAGATGTCACCTCTTAGTTACAAATCAAAACGGGAGTATAAATAACCATTCATCACCTGTTAGCCAATTCTCCATTGTGTTATTATTATTGTTTATTTATTTATTTAATTAGGTTTTTTCTATTTACTTATGAGATAAGGATCAGTGCTAACTATGATTTACTTATTAAATAACTAATCAATTGCTATTATTATTATAATTTTTAAAATGAAAATGTCTTAACAAAGTTTCCAATCTGTTTCACGTCTTTCTTGAGTTCGATTTCCAGTTCCAATTACAATATCACGTTCCATCACTTCCAATGCTTACACTCACTTAACATGCACACCAATTCCCTAGGTCCACATCCCATACTAATACGCTCACATTCCAACATCCACACCAACACTGACCCACCACATACTCCACACCCATGTGCATTCTCAGCCACATCACTTCTTTCTGAACAGTGTTTCAAACTGTTTTCCGTGTCAATTTTATTTTATTTGATTTTTTTTTTTTTTCCATTTCGTTGATGATTTGTCAAATGAATTCCACCTTCACATTATTCTCAATTCATACAAATTTCCAATCTCAATGACTAACATTCAACAATTTGAAATGCCAATTTAAGTTCACACATTTACCAACCAATTTAAGTTTACACATATACTTGTATTAAATTTTGATTCAAATTGTTACTTGTTTCATGCTATTTCAAGAATAATAACCAAATCAGGTCCCATCAAGTGTGCAAATGTCAAGATGTACTCCCATCTTATTACTACAGACAATTTCTCAAATGAATTGCCATTATCACAACATTACCAATTTCACTTTGAAATTTTCAATTTTAAGTTCAACATATGAAATCTCCTTTTTGACATTATTTTTTTAATTTCCAATCAATTTTGCCATACAAACCCCAGTTTCGTATTTATCACAAAAAAAAAAAAAAAAAAAAAAAAAAAATTCAAGCCTCTAGTTCAAAAAATAATATAAAAATAAAATATTAAATTCTCAACAATTTCTTCAAACCATGACAATCGAAATTAGGGCCTTTCTTCCATATATAGACTATTATTACTTTTGTCTTTGGTGATATTTTTTTTTTTCAAATTTGTGTCATTTTTTTTTTTTACTTTTTCGGTCTGTCTGATGCAGTGTTTTAAAAGACTTTAGGCGCACCGAGGCGATAAGATCTCCTATAACCTAAGCGCGAGGCATGAAGCGAGGTGTGTGCCTCACCAAAGCGAGGCGCAGTAGTAGAAGAAAAGCAAAATTATAAAATAGGTTGACTTTTCAACATAACAAACATATATAGAATTTCAAAAAATAATATAAAAATAAAATATTAAATTCTCAACAATTTCTTCAAACCATGACAATCGAAATTAGGGCCTTTCTTCCATATATAGACTATTATTACTTTTGTCTTTGGTGATATTTTTTTTTTTCAAATTTGTGTCATTTTTTTTTTACTTTTTCGGTCTGTCTGATGCAGTGTTTTAAAAGACTTTAGGCGCACCGAGGCGATAAGATCTCCTATAGCCTAAGCGCGAGGCATGAAGCGAGGTGTGTGCCTCACCAAAGCGAGGCGCAGTAGTAGAAGAAAAGCAAAATTATAAAATAGGTTGACTTTTCAACATAACAAACATATATAGAATTCCAAAAATCATAATGCATGCTTCACAAGCATAATAGAGAATAAAAAACAGAGAGATAACCCAATGAAGAAGCAGGAGAAGAGAAAAATAAAATAAGAAAAGAAGAAGAGAAGAAAATAAGGAAAGAAAAAATAGAGGCAGACTCATGAAGAGAAACCATCGAAGAAGAGAAGAACAAAATAAGAAAGAAGAAGAGAAGAAAAAACAGAGGCAGAAAGATAACCCAACCAAGAGAACCCGTCGAAGAAGAGAAGAAAAGAAAGAGAACCACCGAAGAAGAAGAGAAGAACTTGAAGAAGAAGCCGAAGTCGTGTCGTCTTCCCATTTTCTGATCGCCTTTTTTAATCTTCTCCACCTAGGGTTTTTTTTTAATCACTTTCTGCTCTCTTTTGACCGCGTTTGGTCATTTTATATTAAAGAGTTTTGATCCCTTGTGGTATGCCCACAAAAAAAACACTTTTGAAGTAGAAAAATAGATAAAGCCCATGAAGCCTGCACCTAGAAAAAAAGCCCTTGCCTCAACACGCGCCTTGCGTATTGTGCCTCACCTCGACCTATTTGAAGTGCAAGGCTGCGCCTCGTGCTTAGGCGCGCCTTTTAAAACACTGGTCTAATGTAGAAGGATCTAAAAAGAATTTTTTTTGGTTGAAAAAATCCAAAGATTTTTTACTAAAGACAAAAAATCAAATAACTCAATTGTTTGTTTTGGTCTTTAGTGGACTTTTTTCATATTATTTTCAATTTGTTTTACTATATTTTTAGTCCATCTAGTCGAATGAAACCTAGAAGTGTGAAGCTTTTGAATTTTTTTAAAAAGTTAACTAAAAATGAAAAAGTCAACAAAAAGGTCACTGAAAAAGCCAAATCCCAAATCACACCTCAGTATATGGGACGGAGAAACATAGACCTCAAATTGACCATTCAAGCAGTGTCCTCAGATGCAGCTTTTCAAAACTAAGCCAAATTCCACACAGGCCGAAACTCAACTTTTCAAGCTACAAATACAATTCAAAAACCTGACTAGTCAACACCAGTACATTAAGCACAACTCTAAGACGAAAATAAATGCAAGGATGTCGTCATATTTAAAATTCTGGATTGTTACAAGAGGTTTGTTTCCTGTTGTAGATTTATTAATTTTGAAGTCATACATGCTGATCTATTTCCATCTCATGTCCAGTTCCGGGTGATTATTTCGCCCATTTGGATGCCAGTGGCAGAAGAATTGATTTGAATGAACGGCCTGAGCTTAGCAAGGGTAGTGTGGAATTCATTGCACCAGCTGAATATATGGTGCGGCCTCCGATGCCACCACTATATTTTTTCCTCATTGACGTGTCACTTTCCGCTGTTAGAAGTGGAATGCTTGAGGTATGCACTTTTTGCTAACAAGGATGGACTTGGCAACTCATCTTGCATTGTTCAACACCTCTGCATGCGTTATTTGAAATGTTTCTTCCTTTTTTTTTTTTCTCTATACATCCTTGAATTTATGGTTGCCTTCATTTGTTCTTTTACCTTTATTCATTACTTTCCCTTCTCTCTCTCTTTGAAGAAATTGAACTAGTCTGTTGATTCTTATGCCTGGTCAGCTGTGAGCCTGTGAGTGTGTGAAATGAAACAGTTGTTTCATGGATCTATGATAGAAATAATGATTAGGGCTTTAATTATGTTTTATAAAAATGCTCTTCATTCAAATGGTATAGTTTATGGGCTGGCCGGAATAGGTACCTTTTGCTATGTTATATTGATGGAACTGTTAATGCAAGGTGGTTTGTGACCACACAATAAAAAATGGAGTTGTTTAGCTGTGAACTTCTTTTCTTACTGTGATGCTCTTCCCTTAAATTCATTTGTTCAAGAATTTTATACAATTAAAGTATCCTTTTGTTCAATAATGCATTCTCTTTTAAATAATAAAAATGTGAGTTACTGTTGGACTGCAGCCTGCATGCGTTCTTTGCTGGGCTTTAATTTATGTTCACTGTCAATATTCTTTTGCAGGTTATGGCACAAACTATTAAGTCTTGTTTGGATAGATTGCCCGGCTTCCCCAGAACACAAATTGGGTTCATAACTTTTGACAGCACTATACATTTTTATAACATGAAGGCAAGCAAAGCAAGCAATGTTATTATAACTGATTATACAACATAATTCATTTTTCCTGCCTAATGCCTGCAATCATTTTTTATGTTGAATAATGTCTGGTTTTTCTTGTGCCAGTCATCTTTGACGCAGCCTCAAATGATGGTGGTCTCAGATCTGGATGATATATTTGTTCCTTTGCCCGATGATCTCCTTGTTAACTTGTCAGAGTCAAGAAGTGTGGTGGATGCTTTTCTAGAAAGCTTACCCTCCATGTTTCAGGACAATGTGAATGTTGAATCTGCTTTTGGTCCAGCTCTTAAAGCAGCATTTATGGTCATGGTGTGCTCCATTCTTTCTTCCAGCACCATTTAAATCTGCTACACATCTCCTATTGTTGGGTTATTTTTCAATTTTTAAATACATTGATCTTCTGATGAATTTATTCCTTTTTTCCTTTCAAAAGTAGTTTGCCACTTATTCACTTAGCATTAACACATTCTTGTTCCTCTCTATACAGAGCCGACTTGGTGGTAAATTGTTAATTTTCCAGAATACACTGCCTTCACTTGGTGTTGGCCGCCTAAGGTTGCGTGGAGACGATCTTCGTGTTTATGGAACAGATAAAGAGCATGCATTAAGAATACCTGAAGATCCGTTTTATAAACAGATGGCTGCTGATTGTACCAAGTGTCAGATAGCAGTGAATGTCTATGCATTCAGTGACAAGTACACTGATATAGCTTCCCTAGGTATGCGTTATTTCGAGCACATTACTGGATTCACTTCAAGTGGACTGTACTTGATTCTGACATTGAAACTTAAAAAAATCAGTCATTGACATTTAATTTTTTTTTATTGTTATGATTAATTATGCTATGTCTTGGGGTTTATCCTTTTTTATTTTTATTTTTTCTATCAGCTACTCTTGCTTTATCTTTTTTTATTTTTATTTTTTATAGCCATTGCATACTATCTGTTTTAGCACCTTATACACCTTTGTATGTTTCACTGGTTGGAAATTTCTGAAGTTCTGATATTCATTTCATGTGAGATACTTCACAATTATCTGATTGCAACATTTCAATACTGTAAGTATCCTTTTATGGCTACAACTGATCAAAAAAAAGTGTCTTTTTATGGCTCCATCTTTTGCTGGTTCCTACACCATTGGTCAAATTCTGGGATTACTACTTGAGAGGAGTTGAAGTGTGTTAGTTTTCTTTCTCTATTTTGAATAGTTTATACTACTCACTTTATGAATGAGAGGAGATGATGTATATTAACTCGTCAAAAAAAGGAGAGAAGTATGCTATTTATCCCCAAAAAAAAAAATGGGAGATAAGTATGCTAGATTATACTTGTCATGTAAAATTTCTAAGTAGTTTAACAAATTTGAGAACTTGAAAGGTAGAGGAGAAGAAAGAGAAATCAAAATGTAATAGGTAATTGCACCTATGTTCTAGGCACTCACACTAGAGAGGAGATGAATGACACATCACTAATTGTAAGCTTCAAAAAAATGTTAGTTCATCACTATACGTAGAGGATTCTTCAACCTTTCTTTGCAAAATTAGAGGAATCTGGCTTGAGTAGGGAAACTTGGTGGTTAAGTCAGTTTGGAATCCGATGTTGAACTGGGAAAAACATTACACAACTTTGTGAGACTTTAGGATGAACCCTCCCTCAAGTCTCAACTAAGACCATGATTCCAAAGTTAGAAACTGAAGGATTTGAACTCGAAAACATGTCTAGACTAACTAAAAATCATTTTAAAAAGACCCAATAACATGACTTGGCACTACAGCCCAAGTGCAAATTAATTTTCAATTTTTTTTTTTCTTGGGCTTCTTATTTCATGCATTGCACCCATATTTTTCTTTATAGGAACTTTGTCAAAATATACTGGTGGACAAGTGTATTACTATCCGAGCTTCCATTCAGCAATTCACCAAGAGAAGTTGAGACATGAGCTAGCCAGGGATCTTACGAGAGAAACTGCCTGGGAAGCTGTCATGCGCATAAGATGTGGAAAAGGTCAGTCAGTCTTGTTAGTCTGAATGTTGCTATGTTCGATCCATTACTTCCGACTTCATTTCAACTATCTAATTTTGTTTTCTTGAATACTATTTGGATATTGGAAGCTAAATCTTATTTTGTTGTTACTGTTAGGTGTGAGGTTCACATCTTATCATGGGAATTTTATGCTTAGGTCCACTGATTTATTAGCGCTTCCAGCTGTAGACTGTGATAAAGCTTACGCAATGCAGATGGGTCTTGAAGAAACATTATTGACCACTCAGACTGTATATTTCCAAGTTGCTTTGTTGTATCCTTTAGCTGATGCATAAGAAATTCAAGCATGCTTCTCTTGGCGTGTGGCAGATGTCTTTTGGAAATTTGCTTATTATAGAAACTTCTTGGTTTCATTTTCAATTTTTCATGCCTTCACAAAGCTAAAGAAATACTTGGTTATAATTTTTCTTATTGCTAAGCCATTTGCTCATGTAGGATGGTCATGACCACCCAATGCATAAGGTCCTTTTTAACCTTGATATCTGTACAGGACATATTTTTTCTGCCGTTTGGGTTCTTTTGACAATTATGACAAATGTCTTTCAGAGAGACCTCTCTGACGTGCTCCAGGATGCTTCAGGCCAAACATTTTAACTGAGCGTGAAGTGAATTCCTATCTTGGACCACTGTTATGTCCATATATAATTTTATGTCTCCTTGATTTTCAGTTGGATATCATCTCTTGTTATGTAACTTTTCTTAGTTACTCTGCTTTCGAGATTGTGGAAGGAGTTCCATGAGTTCTGTTTTGTTCAGAATATGCATTTGCCTGACCATGTTGAATTGTATGGCATCTTTTATGGGTGGACTAGATTACAAATGACTCTCCTTAATCATCAAAAGATACACTTCATCTTCTGGAGAGAGGCGTATTAGAGTGCATACTGCAGCAGCACCAGTGGTCACAGATCTAGGAGAGATGTATCGGCAAGCTGATACTGGCGCCATCACTTCTTTGTTTTGTAGGCTAGGTACAAAAAGCACCTCACCCTCTCCCATACTGTCTGCTAGTTTTGTCATATTAGACCATGGAATTTGAACATTAGGTAGATTCTCGACTTTATTAATTATGAACTGAATTAATCTGCAGCAATTGAGAAAACTCTGTCCTATAAACTGGAAGAAGCTCGAAACTCGATTCAGCAGAGGATTGTCAAAGGCTTGAGAGAATATCGAAATCTCTATGCTGTACAGCATCGCTTGGGAGGCAGGATGATATACCCAGAACCACTTAAGTTCTTACCATTGTATGGGTTAGCACTATGTAAATCAATACCCCTTCGTGGTGGATATGCTGATGCGCAGCTCGATGAACGCTGTGCAGCAGGGTACACCATGATGACCCTACCTGTTAAAAGTTTGTTGAAGTTGTTATATCCTAATTTGGTTCGGGTTGATGAGTACCTTGTAAAGGTACAGAACTTTCTTGTATTTGAATTTTTTGCAATTATGTTCTTAATCTTGTGAATTTTATAGCCCCAGCTGCATCTCTTATTTGCAGGTGTCTTCTCAGGCTGATGAGTTCAAGATTTCAAGGCTACCACTTACAGTTGAGAGCTTAGATTCCAGAGGGCTTTATATTTTTGATGATGGTTTTAGGTTTGTTATATGGTTTGGTAGAATGCTTTCACCTGATATAGCTATGAATCTACTTGGGGAAGACTTTGCTACAGACTTTTCGAGGGTATTTTTTTTTCATTCCCAGAATCTACGTCATATATCTAATATTCCAAAATATTATATACTTCATGCACATTTTTTATATTATAATCTCCATGTCTTCATTAGTTGTGATTTATTTAAAAGGATATTATTCTGGATCTCATTTTCCTGCATTTATCAGAGCCTCTGATGTGGTGATGCCAAAATTAAAAGCTTTATGACCTGAGTTAAGATTGGCTGTCAAACATGCAGCATATTTGTGCTTTTAACACGAAAAAAAAAAAAGCAAAAATAGGGTGTCCTTGTCATGTACTAGGTGATGGGGAACGCAAAGGAATTATAAAAGAGATAATTGAAGATTAAGAAAATTAGTTGATTTAGGAGTTTAATTTATATATGAAGTTGAATTTGTTTAGGATTTTGTTTCTTTATAGGATTAGTTTGGTTTGCCTGTATATGTGGCTTTGGTGTAATGAATTAGGATACTACTATAGTAGTTTGAATTGTGTTCCCTTTTTCTCCCTTGTTTTATTCCCTTCTTCTTCAGGTTATTTTATGCCACATAGACTGTAGTTGCTTTGTATGCTACATGGACTCTTCTAAATTTGTGAAGTACACCAAGCGATACTTAGAAGGCTTTTTTTTTTCCTGCTGCTTTTCTTATATGCTGTAACTGACCTCCCCTGATGCTGTATTCATTCTTCCTTTTTTTTTTTTTTCATCTTCTTCGACTCTCTCTCCCTCTGTTTGGTGCTCTCTCTCTCTCTCTCTCTCGTTTGACACTCTCTCCTTTTTTTGTTCAACTCTCTCTCTCTCTCTCTCTCTCTCTTGTTTGACACTCTCTCCTTTTTTTGTTCAACTCTCTCTCTTCCCTCTTCGTGTGTCAATTTCTCTCTCCCTCTTTTATTCTTTGTTTCTTTATTTTTTTTTTTACCCTTTTTGTTTTTAGTAATAAAAAAAAATTCCCGCTTTTACTTTTTTCTATATTTTTTAATATTCTTGTTTGCTAAAAATTAACATATAGAATAAATTATTTTTATTTGTAAAATAATAATAATAATAATAATTTGTGAATGATATTTGATATTAAAGTAAATAAATAAATAAAATTAATATATATTTTTAAATTTTACATATAATAAATATAAAAAAAAATTATAGGGGGACTTACCGACTGATCCCATGGAAGTAAGTTAATGCCAGCCAAGTCTTGTCCTATTTTCGTTTCCAATTTTACCCTTTAATATCACACCACATGCGTAAAGCAAAGAAGTTGCTCACGAGCTCCCTTGTGAGCTCTCCCCTGTATGTTGTCTTTGTTTTGTTCCTTATATATTGTTCCTTTTGTTCTCTCATACTCACATACATACACACTTACTCACTAATTCACAAAAACACATCCACACACTTACTAATTCACAAAAACAAATTCACAATAATTTAGCAGTGATATACTTACACTGATAAATTTAATACTCATATACATACACACTCACTTACTAATTGACAAAAACAAATTTACAAAAATTCATGAGAAAGTTTTTTGTGAAAGGCAAATGCACTTCGGGAAGCTGTGTGAATTAATCAAGACAAGGATTGCATTGTGGGCCAAATTTATGCTTAGGATTGCTGTTACTCAGTGCAGTAGATTATCTGCAACATTCAGGAGATTCGGCTTGGTTTCTAGCTATCACTGGTGTTAAGCTGGGGATGGCAAATGGTTAGTCTATGGTGGAGGTGAAGGGTGAATTTCTGGTGTTTTTCTAATATTTTGCTCTGATTGTTGATCTGTCTGTTGGGTTGTTTTGATGTCATTAGATGCTGGAAGTCTTGGTGATTCTTTGGATCATGAGATGTATGCTAATGGCTGCTGATGGATTGGGTTTTGTGTTGGATTGTAGTCCACTTATTAATGCTCAGGTGAGAGGTTGTATGACATAGGTCTGTTGCTTTCTGCTGTATATCAGAATCCCAGAGACGGTGCCTTCTCGGTCTATTAAGAGAGCCTTAACAGAATTGTTGATTTACTGATGTCCTGAAGCAAGTGTGTTGTGGCAGCAGCAACATGTTGCAACACTAGTGTCGGTCTGCACCTCTCTTTTCTTCTTTTCTCTTCCTTTGGCTTGTGTTGGTTCCTCTCTAACCTTTGTAGTTGTGCTAGCTCATGATTGAGCTTTATGCACTTCCCTCATTTATTGATGTAATCTCATACGAATGTATGTTGTCGTCATCAATAAAGTTTTTCTTTTGCTGATCAAAAAAAAAAAATTACAAAAATTCTACAGTGATAAATTTATCAGTAGTTTAAACAAATTTATCACTAGTTTAAACAAATTATCACTGATTTATCACTAGTTTAAACAAATTTATCACTGGTTTAAACAGATTTATCATTGGGATCTTTCCCAATATATATATATATAGAGAGAGAGAGAGAGAGAAGACCCGGTGGCAAAGAGCCTAGATCCTAGATCCTAAATCTAGAGGTGGAGGCGACGACGACTGTGGAGATGGAGGCGACAGTGGTCGGCAACGATAGTAGAGGTAGAGGCAAAGACGTCGGTGGCGGTAAAGGCAAAGACGTCGGTGGAGGTGAAAGCAATGGTGAAAGTAGAAGAAGATGCCAACAATGGGGGCGACGGTGGTCAGCAGGTTCTTTTTCATATATGTAAGCTTTCTTTCTTCCTCTACTAAAAGAGAGAGACACGTCTAATTTGTTAAAACATTTTATTGATTCTCTGCATTTAAACAAATGTAGAGAGAGAGAGAGAGAGAGAGGGAGGGAGGAATAGAGAGAGGAAGAGAGAGAGAGAGAGCATTGGAGTCAGGTGGTGTTCTTGGTTTTATTAGTGATCCAAGTAGAAGCACAAGATGGGTTCATCAAAACCAATGGATTTTTTTTTCTTCAGATCTGAGTATAAAAACATGAGGGCAAAAATGGAACAAACAAAAATGTTCAGGACCTATAGGTAAAAGAGTCTCCATTAAGGACCTGTTGGGTAATAACCTTTGAAAATAGGACTGGCCCGTAAAATCTCAAAATTATATATATTGAACATGTCCCCAACATGTTGTGACTCCCATTTTTTAAAAATTTGTGTATTCACGTGTACGTGTCATGTCCTGTGTCTGTGTCCGTACTTCATACATGCCTACCAATAGATAATACCCAAACATGGAAAAAGCCACTGAAACACAATTAAAGAACCACCCAGCTATTGTTGTCTTGGCATTCTACTTCCTATAAACAAAATGATCTACTGTAGAGGCTATAACCAAAGAACCATTGCAAAAGCTTCCCGTTCTTCATGACCAAACAAAGGCTTGTAATTAGACAAAACCAAAAAATCTCCATAGAAATCTATTGATTTAGAGAGAACATTATTTTAGCCTTCTTGTCAATGCTTGCTAAAGTCAGCCTGATTCCCATTTCTCCTAAAGAAATTAAATAGATCCTACTGCTATTTACTAAAAGTTCAAAACTTCTATCAAAAATGAAATGCAGACAATTACACTTAACTTCTTCTGCACACTACTTATATATTATCAATAGGAACAACATGTGATATGGTCATTATATGCTTATTTTATATCCTTAATTTATACTGTGTTAGACCTATTTTATATTTTATTATTTATTTTGTCTTTTTTCTGTTTATTTTTATGTTTTTAGTATTCCAGAAATTTAATGGAAAATGCTAATAAATGAAGAAAATTTAAATCTACATGAGAAGAGATTTTAATATATAAATGGGAGCAACATATCACAACAAGTTGTTTAGCTTAGTTGGTTGTCAGGTGGGTCACATGGTCTATTGTGGTCAAGGTTCAAACCTTGTTGGAACTTGGAAGTATATTTTCTTTTTATCAAACTTGAGACAGCTCAAGTTCTCAAGTGTACCAATGCCGCGAAGCACAGGATCACAACCCAACCCAGGAACTTCTCCAGCATTTAGAACTCAACATGAGTCACCTCTCAGCTAGGAGAGATCTTTGGATGGAATTCAAACTGCAATAATTTATTTTTATCTTTTAGAGGTTAATCTTTTTAGAACTCTACAACTTCTTTATGTATGTATTTTATTTTTCCCTGTAAACAGAGAGGTAGACAACACCAACAAGAGGGGAGATTATTAGGTATTATTTTATTTTTAGTTCTTTTTCTCTTCATATGTTTGGAGAGTGTTTCAAATATGTAGGTGAGGGTTCAAGAAAGGAGTTGGAAAATTCGAAGATCTTCGAAGATCCTTGAAGAACAACTTCGAATTCTCTAGAATATGATGAGAGGCTTAGATTCTTCAATGATCTCAACTTAGGAACACAACAACAAAGGAGATGATGGAGATAAGAGATTGGGTGAAGAAGAAGGCAAAATGGCTAGAGAATAGAATAATGGCAAGGCTCTCCCATTGATCTCCCACTTTCACTCTCAAGGTGCTAAATACCATTAGGAAATTAGTTCTTTCCCAAGAGTTAAAAATCTCCAAAATCCATCCCTTGTAAAGCTATGGGTGGGTGCTATTTATAGGCACCTCATGATGTACCGGGCTAGGAATCCGGTACCTCCTCGGAAGTAAAGTTCACCTTGAATAATTATGAATTGGGCAAGCTTGACCATTGCCAATTTTCTAACTTTGCTTCTGAGTTGTTCGAGGACTTCTCCTCTCCAGTCCTCCGGAAGGCCTTTGTCTTCGGGTATTATTGAAGGTTCTGTTCTCTTCTTGATAACAATTGTTTGCCTCTTCCTCTGAATGTCAACTTCTTGCCCTAAAATGTTGCTAGAGGGCATCTGAAAACTTGTTATCGGAGCGAGGCCACATGGCTTCTATATTCGACTTCTAAAATTGTCAAGAAGCCTCTTGGACTGTTGTTCGAATATTTGTGGGCAATGGCAGCGCTCCTAAGACGAACTGTCCTGAAACTGCCTTCACTATCAGCTTTGAGTCCCCTCGACCGAATCTTCTTAGATACGTGCTTATCAGCAGCTTATCAAAGCCTAAAAATAAGAGGCCTCATACTCGGCTTCGTTATTCGAACAATGGAAATCCAGTTTATAAGACAAAATATAACTTTTCCCCACTTTTGCTGTAAGGACTAATCTCGGTTCTCCCTTCCCTCCGGCTGCTGGCTCCGTCAAAGCTCAATGTCCAGAAGCTTTCCTCGGAAGCCATTAGCTGCGTGCACCTCTCTCTTTAATTCATTCATTCACTGCGTTTCATAGTCACCACTTGGAAATTGCGGGCAAGGAGATCAGCATAAGGCTGGGCTTCTGATCGCCTTGTGGTGCTACACCATGTTATTCTCGAATTCACCCCAGTGCAATACAACCATCTTCCACCTTCTCCGGTTAGAGCAGGCCGTTGATGGAGGTATCGGATTTGGATCACTCTACTAGTAACAATCTGAATATGATGTGCTAGGAAGTAATGTCTGAGGCTTTGGGCAGTGAATACCAAAGCTAAAACAATGTCTCTCTACGGGAGTATATCGAACTTCTGCTCTCGAATCTTTTTCTGACTGAAAGTAATACACCGGGCATTCTACTCCATCTAATCTTGGACCAATTAATGCCCCTCATGGACTTTGGGGGGTTGATAAGTTAGTTACAACATTAGCAGGCCACCCCGGCTGCGCGGGCTATCATGGTCTGAAGGCCAGAGGTCAGGCGCCTTGATTCTCTTCAAGGCCTTTTGCGTGCTCCTGGTTCCACTCAACTTGGCATTCTCCTTTTAACAATGAACGAAAGGGGCAGAGAATCTCTGCAATGTGCTATGAATGAACCTCCGAATTATAAACACCTTCCCGAGGAACTTTTTAAACTCCTTCTGAGAATGCGGGCGGAGGCATTTGCTTCTGAAGATTTGACCCTTGTCTTTCATCTGCCTCGCATTACCAGCTATTGTACAAGGAAACCGAGGAACTTCCCGGCCGTCACCCCGAAAGCCATTGAGAGCGATTTCATCCTCATTTTGATTTCTGGCACCTCTGAATACCTTCTCGAAGGTCTCGGAGAATGGTTTCTTCTTCTTTCTTGGGATTTCACCACTATATCGATCAACAATACATCTTCCACCTTCGTGATGGATCATGTCATGAAAAGATTGCAGTCATTACCTTTGTTAAGTTGCACCGGCATTTCTTCAGTCCGAAAGGCATGACTGTATAGAAGAAGTTTCGAGAGGTGTTTTAAAAGCGATCTTTTTCTGCCGTCCTCTTCAGTCCATCTTAATCTGATTGTATCCACTGAATCTCATCCAAATGAATTTTGAGAACAGTCTGGTCGTTGTCCCGAGGTAGATCCACGAGGCGTGTTTGATGTGAGGAAGAGGAATTCACTATACAGGAATATATATATATATAGTCTACACATACTCTGATTTGCGCCATTCTTCTCTACTGGCACGATGTTTTGCTAAACCAATTGTGGGGTACTGTATTGCGCCAGAATTGAAACCAGCCTGTTGAAGTTTTTCAAATCTCCCTCCTTATTCTTCTCTTCGAGATCTGGGATGATATTTTTGCAGCAGCTTGCTTAATTTGGCTTTGGGAGTTTGGGAACACATCAAGATTGTAGGACGGAGGACTAGCGTCAGGAATCTAGTCGGGCATTTCCTTATATGACCAAGGAAAACACATCTGAGTATCGGACTATCAACTTTAACAACTGTTACCCGCTTCTCTGGCTAAGGCTCGAACTTACGCTAATACCGGGCCTCGGTGCATTCTTGGTCCATCACTCATATCTATTTCAATAAAATTGTTCGGCCTGAGCTTCGGGACCATCTGCATACATTCCGGAGCCAACTTCAGGCTTTATTACTATATTCATTGTCATGGAGGCTCTTCTTTTGACTTCGAGTCGGTTGACTGAAGAAAACCGGACTCCCCGCACCTTCATAAATAGTACACCATTTTGCCTCATTTTCTCGAACTTTTTTCATCACCTTCCGAGGATAGGCGGACTTTCTGTCTAGACCATCGCCCGCTTACTTGATTCTGCCATCGGTTCCCTTGTCATGTTTGATATCCTCCCAACGAGGAATTTTGACCCCTCGAGGCTTAGAGGTGGTGGGAACTTCTTCGACAGCCAAGTTCATGAAGTTTATGATGGCATCAGAAAATGAGGCTTCGATGGATCTCGAAAGGCCTTTCTGTAAGCCTGAATTGTCACCGTCTCCTTTCCCCATTATAGCCTTAACACACTGATGCATAACTTTGATGGTACAGCCCCATATCTATGCATCTCCAGG